TGTGAGAAGCGAGACAATCGTTGATTTTCCTGAACCACTGGCACCAACGAGAGCGACAGTTTGGCCTTTTTCGATAGAGAGGTTGAAGTCTTGAAGGACGGGGACGTTGGGTCGAGATGGATAAGCAAAGTTGACGTTTTTGAATTCGATGAGAGGAGTGTTGTCTTGAGAATCCGTTGAAAGATCCGGCGGCGGCGGACGCGTGAATTCATCCCTACAATGCATCTCACTCAGATCCAATTCAATCAAATTCAGAATCCGATGAAGAGCAACCCCAGCTGCATGAAACTCCGTCAACGTCCCAAAAGAATCCGTAAAGATCTCAACTGTCAGATTCATCAACAACAGAACCTGCATAACCGCAAGCCCCCCAATCTGACCAGCGAGGTACAGCTTGAAACCATACCAGATCCCGAACACATACGTGGCGTTGATGTATAAACCCGAAAATCCAATTTCAAGGCCGGAGATGAGACCTTTGCGCCGTGTGATGAGTTCGATGTCGTAGAGTTGCTTGCTATATTTGCTCAGTTCGCGCTTCTCGCCTCCAAAGGCTTTGACGGTGCGGATGGCAGAGATGGCTTCTGTCGCAATCTTGCCGGCCTTTTCGCGGGAGTCGAGATTCATACCGAGGTTTACGACCAGGAGGCGGTATCCGACGGTCCCAAAGAGCATCACCCCAATCGTCAATCCAATGAGGGGGAGGGCGAGGTTCCAACCGACAGCGAGGGCGTAGACGAACGCAAGAGCCGAGGTAAACATTTGTTGGAGGAAGACGCCGAGGACGTCGGAAGTGCCTGTAGTGACTGTTTCGACGTGGGATGTGATGAAGGTATTAAGTTCGCCGGTGCTGTGGGTTTCGAACCATTCAATATCCTATTTATAACGTTAGTATATTGAGACCCAAGATAGATCGAGAAAGATGTAAGACGATTACCTTCTGCATGTAAGCATGGTAAAGCTTCCGGCGCAGTTGAACTGCTGTCCGTTCCGACACCCTCGTCCACAAGTAAACTCGCATGGACCCTGACACCAAGAAAACAACCGACAGCACTAGCATGATCCCAACAAACTTCATTAAAGAGGCATTAAACTGTTCAATAGCCTTTGTCTTATCCAGATCGGTGTTGATGTAGAAATCGGTAAAGATTTGGGAGACAGAGGTGATGATGAACGTCCATGTGAAGGTTGTGGTGGAGGTTACGGCGGATGCCAAGATGGCCAAGGCGATGTAGATACGATCTGTCGGCGTGGAGTACTTGAAGGCGTGCCAAAGTGGTGCGCTTTGGGTAGACGCTTCGTCATCATCGTCGTTGTTATCTTGAAGATTGTGGTTGTCAGCATCCTCATCGTCAAAGTCGTCAAGAAAGGGTTTCCGCTCTTCCTCATTCAGATCGTCCGGGTCAGTCGTGATAATCTTCCACCAGCGTTTCAGCCTGCGAATGAGCTTGCTCTTCTTCTTCTTTCCTGATGATACTCGCCGTCGGGCATTGCTGTCGTTTTCCGTGTCGTTGCTACTAATGGGAGCGTGTTGAGCTTGCGCAGGGGAGTGGTCAGATGTGGTCACCATGGCTTAGAGTTACTCGCTTGCAATGATTTCGGATGATCTGAGACGCACTTTTAGCTCATCAAGATAAGAAAGGAAGAGATATAACTTGAGGCGGAATCGCGGCCAAGTTTGGGGAGACAACCAACATGGCGGGGTGGCTGTCTAAGGACGCAAAAGACAACCGACGCAGACACAAAAAGGGGCATCCACAAGTGACCATTGCCCTCCCCAAGCCGAAACCTGCAAGGCTGTGCGCGGTTCCTTACTTTCGGCTAGTGATTATCTAACGACCTTTGGAAACATAAGAAACTTAAACCAAAAAGAGATGTGGGCGGAAGAAGCAAAAATGTGAAAGTCAATTGAGCGAGCAACGGGTAATGCGCGTTCAGATATGGTTAGGTAACCGTTGCTCAGCGGACCTTCACATTTATTTCATTCCGTAAACAAATAGATGTATCATTTAGTTTATGGAGGTGCTGAAAGTTGTGGGTTTGTTTGATGTGGATATTTGGATTTGCTGCAAAGTCAAGTTGGCAAAGTCACGAGCGCGATTTGACCGGCTACTGTAAGTACCCAGATAGACCGGCTAAGGTTCTTTCTTGGACTTCAATCAAATATCACTATCGACATCGAGCTACTAAGTTTTAAAAAGTAATGAGAAGGAAAGCAAAAGTATTTACAGAATTCGATAACCATTGTCGTTCCCCGTCTGAGTCGAGGTTCGGTTCAAAAAATATGGGAATCTTATCAAAAAATGAAAGTCGAATTAGCGAGCAACGGATGCGAAATCAAATATATTTTGATAACCGTTGCTCAGCGGACCTTCACAGTTTGCTTCCGTTTTGGATGTGTATTTATAGTGTTTAATTGACGGTGTATAGGCTGGGTTGTGGGCTTGTACACTCTCCTGTGGTGAAGCACGTAGACTTGTGGCCAAGTCGATCTTGAAATCGTTCGCAAATCTTGAGCCAACCCACAACCGTCTAACCCCACCCTCAACAGCATGTATAAAGAATCAATATTAGAAAAGGAGCAAATGTGAAGGTCCGCTTAGGAATGGTTATCATACTTTGCCAACTTATTCCCATTCCTAGCCTTTCGACTTTCATTCCCTTTTTTGTATGGATCTTTGCTGCTTGCCATACTTTTTACCACCATCGAGGTCATAGATTGAACGAGGCCAACGAGGCTCGAAATGGCATTGAAGGTATGGGTCGTCGCCAAAGAACCGCTCGGAATCTCCGCCGACGACTGGGAATAGTTGAACGAGGCTATGGTCTTCAAGTCAAGGCCTACGTAGCCTAACGTTCGCGTCGAGGAAGCCCAAAAGAAGGGTGGAGCCAAGGCTGAGACGGGTGGGAAGAACGGAACCAGTAATGGCTTGGTGATTAGCTCTGCGAGAAAAGCGGCTTCCAGCGGGTTGTTCAGCTTGTTCGCGATGTTCTTTTGAATGGTTATAGGAGGGTTTCGATGAAACCGTTTATTGACAGTAACGTTGGCGGCCCCGTTTTGTAGCGGCCGAATTTTGAACATAGATATGATGACTTGACTGCTTTTTTCTTCTGTTCTACTTAAACATCGCGATAGCACAAGGTATTCCGTTGGCTTTCGGGCCAATAGCCTGCGACATTGGGGCCAGCCCTTTACTGCGCGTTAACTTTAACGAACATGGATGAGACTTGCACTTCAAAAAGAAAGATTGACACAAAAAGAGATGATGAACGGCGAACGCCATAGATACATACGAGACAAGACAGCATTACCAGCCAAACGACGTTGAAAAGGTTGAAAGATTAGCTGCAAAACAACAAAAAAAAACTAGCTCAGCCTGGTTTCGATCCAGGGACTTCAGGGTTATGAGCCCTGCACGCTTCCGCTGCGTCACTGAGCGTTGAAATTTTTTGAATTTATAGGATTATATATTCAATACAATTATCCCTTAAACAAAACTAAATTGATCCGTCGGTCCAAGTTAGCATCTGGAGATCAGCCCAAACGGTTTAATCTTTGACGCAAGCCGCGACCTCCTGCTTTAACGCTCCAAGTTGGCATGCTGAGAAATCCCCAAAAGTCCAGATTTTCTTCAGTGTAAATCACGAAACGAAGCTGGCTGATCAGGCTTATGCATTTAGTGTCTCGAAATCCGCGTGATCTTTCCGAGGTGAGTAGAGGTAGCGCTTTTTCCTTTTTCAACTTCCTCCATTTACTTTTATGTTATTCTTCTTCCTGAAAGAAGCATCAAAAGCTTGAAAGGAGAACAAAAAGTAAATGGAGGAAGGTCGAAGCATCGAGCGAAGAGTTTCAGGTAGATGTTG